GATGGACGTGGGTGATGGACGTGGGTGATGGACGTGGGTGATGGACGTGGGTGATTTCGGGGTGTCGGTGTGAAGGAGAACCACTGCTCTTTACTACGCAGGTTGTCGATAACTTGCACACTCATTGGAAGGAGAACAAAGGCACCTTTCAAAGAAAAACAACCTGCAAATCGCCGAATCCACGCGCTTCGGCTCGCGCAAAAAAGCTTCCACGAAAAGCACCTTCCCTTTGGCGCATTGTTTCGGCGTCTCTCCCAACCCGTTCCTGCCTTTGTAATCGCTTGCGGGTGCTTGTAGCCGATGGTCGTCAGGTTTTTTCCATGTAGACTCCTGTTTGAAACAGACGACTCTGATGGCAACCTCAGCCTCTCTTGCGACACAGGAGTTCTGCATAGAAGATCATAGGACTGCCATATGTGGTGGTCGAAGACGATGAAAGGGCCAGGGGGAGGGCTCAGAGGGCAGCAACAGGTGGATTCTAGCAACATGAGTGTGCATTTAATTGCATCAATAGACTCATCAAAGTTGGGAGCGCCAGGTCAATGTGGTTTTGAGATCGAGTTTCCCCAACTAGGCTGCTTTCGGGGTGGCCTATTTCAAACGCACCCACATTCTACAACCCAACAAATGCCAACCCGCCTCAAGATCCGTAAAAATTCGTCGAACAAAAATGCCGTGTCTACTGGGCCGCAGCAAGCCTGGCCGACAGGGAGAGCTCATTCCTTTCCTTCTCTCAAATCGGCTGGGGAAGGTTACTATACTGTTCAAGAAGAAACAAAAACATTCGTGACTCCTTGAGATTCCACAAACTCTCACCATCCATGACCATCTGACCAGCTGCTTCCAGCCTCGGGATGAAATTGAACCGATAGCCATGGCTTCTCCTGGCACAGGTCTTCGCTCCGATCAAAGGTGAGAACTACATGGACTATATATAGCTGGAAATAACAAGACACTTCCGTCTCAGCCTTTATCACTGATGGCACGCGTGATGGCACGCGCCCTCGCAAGCCCCGTGCAGTTCGGTAGCAGCTTTAAAAAGCAAAAGGAGAGCAGAACCACTGTGATCTCAATGATTCCAGGAAAAGCAACGGTCCTTGTGCGCAATTCCCTCGTTCGAGCCATCATTGGCATTGACGAAGAGGGAGTGCCAGCCGTCCGGAAGCTGAGAATCGTCCACGGCAAAGCCATGGTTCTGCGAGGTAATGTAGCATCTGCCAGTCCGGAGATCTATGCAGGGCTGGTTCCTGAGGTGCTTCCGAGTCGTTGTCTGAGTTGTGGAGATGACATGCAGTGTGTCCATATCAGAGAACAAGACGTGTTCGGGGGAAGAATAGAAAAATTGGCAGACCGCAACCCCACAGAAAAGAAATACAAAGCCCAAGTTCAAAGTTCAGAGCCGAGTAGCACTCCACGGTTTCCGAACTTCATTTTGTAAGTCTTGCAGCCGGCCGCCAGGGAGAGCAGCTGGTGGCCAAGGCAAATACCAAAGATGGGCAATGTTGGCCGGTCTTTCATCACTTGCTGAAGGCATTTCACTGTTGCATCACACCTGGTAATGGCTGAAAGAACTGCTTTTGCCATGTCGGTGGCCCTGACTTGCTGAATGACATCTACATTCTCCACGCCTAGTCTTTCCACTATTAGAATTGATCCTTCTGTAGGGGTTCACAAATTCCGGACCATACCCACACACATGCGAATATCTGTTCTTTACGAACATGTATAACACCAATCTAACCCAAAACTGGCTCAGCTCTTAAACTCCCTCCAAATGTGCCAAGACTCTTCTGTGGATCTCCAGGACCGTTGCTGATAAACAAACCGTCAAACTCCTCGGCATGACAAATCCCAAAACATCGTTGTCAAAAAAAGACACATCGACTCACCTTTGGACGTGCCGGCGATGTCCTTTTTGGGTGGCATCCTCCCTATTCCCCACGTTGACTTGCCATGTTCGGCCAACGTGGACATTATGGAGCTTGGAACCGCGAACGAGGACAGCATCACCCTTGTCCAGGTCCAATCAAGCAAAGGACTAACCAGCCGCAAATCCATCCGACCATCCGACCAAGCAGTGGCTTGCTCCACTGTCACCGTCGTGGCTCTGTTTCACTCCTATCGTCCATGGCCAAGCCTTCGCACCTCCTCAAAGACTAGAAACAAGTTCCGTCTTGGGACCCTGAATCACCTCCATCTCACCCCCACGTCAGACGTTGGCTTCGCTGGAGGCCAACCATTGTGGTGCGTTCGACCGACCGGCAGACATGGGTTTTCGGTCGACACGGGGACCTATCCCGAGGTCCACCTCCACCACCGTTGGGACCTAAGGACCTATGAGAGATGAAGGGTGAGAAGGACCGTCCCGGAAGAGGAAGGACCGTCCCGGAAGAGGTCAATTTCCACAAAAAAGAATGCCTGGACCTTCAAGGGGTGTCCTGGCTGGAGGTCCCTTTACTGTTATAGGGGCTTATATAGTGCTTGGTGACCCCGACATGAAGGTGCTGGTGGTCTTTTTCCCAGTTTCGGGGGACCCCAGGTGAACTGGGAAGGTCCTTGACTTTCACCACGCGAAAGTGGAGTGACTATTACTGGACTTCTAGGGCAGATCTACTTCACAGTCACAGCAGATCTAACTCTGCAAAGACACTTCTTTTGTGAAGTCGTAGTTCCAGGGGACCACCTTCAGCCGCACTCGGAGGTAGTAGACAAAGTACCGCACAATGTTAAACCTCAGGCCGCACAGCTGCAACAACATTTGCACGGACATATTGAGATGGGGCAGGTTTGCTTTCATGACCTCAGCACTCTTATGAATCTCTTGAAGGAGCGGAGGTCGTCTAAGGAGCTTGACATGCCAGTTGGAGTAACTGTTCCTTTTGAAGTGATCTTAATTTGAGGAATAACGATCCTTCTCCCTGTACGCAGGTGCAAGTGCAAACACACAGGCATGCGAGCTTGCACGAGCTTGCGCGAGCTTGCGGGCTCTGAACCAAGAATTTTGGAGCATGAACCGTCGAAGGAGTTTCTTGACATTTGCCCGGGCGAATGCACAACAAGCGTTGATTGCTAAGGGGACGGCGACAACAACAACAACAACAACAGCAGCAGCAGCAACAACAACAAGCCTTGGGTTGCAAGGAATTCACCCGGCCCATCACCAGCATGTACATTCATGGCAAAAGGTGCTTGTGTTGGTGCGGCTGGTGCTGGAGTGACCTTCGGCAGTGAAAAGTCTTCCTTGAAGCTAGACATCCCTCATGTTTGATGTACAGTCTCACACTTTTGATGTACAGTCTTTCCACCTGAGGGTCAAAAAATAAGAAAATAGATGAAAATCGTAAAAAAAACATGCGGAGAAAAAGAAAAAAGGTCAGGGAGTGGCACCGATGTCCTTCAAACGAAGCTTCCCGTATGCCGACCTTCGACCCTTCCAACCGTCGACGATGGGTCAATGTCGGACGAAGATCTTCATGCCACAGTCCACCGCCAGGACCAAGGGAGGCTCACCTGCAGAACGAGAAGATTCGAATATTCCCCTGGCGGCGAAGTGCAGGGATGACCAGGGAATAGACATGAATAGACTCATACCAAGACACAGGGGTGTGTGTGTGTGTGTGTAACCCTTGGAGTCATAGGGATCCTTTTGGATTTTAATTTGGTTTATCGCAGGGGGTAGCGGCAGATCATTTGGGACCGCTACCAACGAAGACGCCCATTTGATCTGGTGATATCGGAGTTGGCCACTCCGACGTACCTGCAATTTTCCATTTCTTCGAATGGCGAGAGGCTAAGCCAAGAACCTCCCTGACCTGAATTTCTTGTTGCTGCAGACTTGCACGGAACGCCGTCAGCTTGTCGTCTCGTCGGTCGTGGCCTTTAACTACAGGAACTCTGGTCCCCTTCACCTGGTTTTTCAGGATTTGGGTCTCTTAGGCCGGCGTGTGGCACCACCGCATTCAGTTCAGTACACAATATCTCAAGTATCTCAAGTGTGTGTGTGTGCCTCAAAAGCTCTAAAGAAAGACCTGTTGAATGTCTATTCGCTTTGGATGTGAACGATGTTCCTCTTCTGGCTTTCGGTTCCCCTAGGTTCAAATACAGACAGAAGCTAAGCCCCTTATAGTGAGCCAATTCGTGTGTCCGGAAAGGTCGGACCATGGAAGATCACAGCGAGGCTCCGGCCATCGTCGTCCGGGTCTTTGGGTGGCGCATACAGCTTGGGGCTGGGCCTCTGGCGCACGGCAGGTCGTGGCACGGAAGGTGGGGTTGGGCATGTTGGGCATGTTGACTGGGCTGCGCTGTGGGGGTTGGGCACTTGATGGCAGGTGCCCAAGTTGGATCTGATCCGTGCTGCTTGCGGCGGCTGCGCGTTCGCGGTCACAATCAATTTGGGCCTTCCCTTCTTGGAGACCTATTCTGGGTGCCCCAGCAATGACACTTCCGCCACCAGGTTGCGCAAGTTCGGATCCTGTGGCACAGGTAACAGGAGGGGGGTCGTGCAGCTATGATGAAAGAAAATGAATGGTCTCAACAGCGGACAAAAAGGTTTGCCTCAAACGCGGGGAATCCCCCAAAACATGTCCAACCTAAACATGCTGGGTCGAACGAGCCAGTCTTTTCCGGGTTCGAAGGAAAGTCGACTGGTGCCATGAGGCTGTAGGTCATGGCAGCAGGAGACCGACTGGTTGACCTAGCTGGAAGCTTGTTCGCTACATAAGTGGACCGGTCGAGCTCCAGGTGGGTCGCGACCGAAACGTCCGACCGTGCGATCCATCCTCCCACGCAGGTGCAGGCTCAGATCCGACGACCACCGCACCCAGTGCTGAGCCTGGCAACAAGGCACAGAAGCTACTGCACAGCTACTAGGAACAAGAAGCTACTAGGGGTTCCTGGCATCGCTACTAGGAGCAAGGACGCGACTCCTGGCCTTACTACTAGGAACAAGAAGCTACTAGGAGCAAAGGGCATCGCTACTATACTGCACGTAGGCGACCACGGGACAATGGCACCGTTCGCGACCGGTTGCGGGGTCGTGTGATTTCGGGAGCTCTTCGGCATCGGCAGATTTGGGGGGACGGCCAAAACATGTAGCCATGGCCATGCAGCCCACGCAGACACCAAGTATGTAGCGCTGAAAAAACAGGACACACACCATCACCCATTGGTCAAGGAATGAATGAACAGGCATGGCAAAAGCTGTGGTCGTTGACCCCGCCGATCCAACCGCCACCCATTTTGCTTCAAGGGGAACGTCGCCACCGATCCCCGGAGCCTTCCATTCGCAGTCGCTTGGTGATGGCTCGCGTGTCCACCCCGAAAATTCCAGGCACTTTGTGCCTCGGCGGCGCGAGTCGATGGTGATGCTTTTCGCGGGTCGATGCCGTGGTTTTGGCCGAATGGTCCGTCCAGGGACGGGGAAGGTTCTTGTCCATCAGCGGCGAATAAAAATGTCATCCCTGCAAAGGACTTTTGACTCAATCCAGTAGAATCCATGGTCCATGGCAATGCATTGCTCCATAATCTTTGGAGGGCTTGAGCCTAGGACCCACACACGAACTCTCGTTTGAAGCAGTTCACTCAGGGTCTATAGTCAATGAATGCTTTTAAGGAAAAATCTGCAGGAAACCATGGTTTTCACCCCCACCACTAGACTATATAGGTTTCCTGTAGATGTTCCATGATTTTCCTGTAATTAAACCACTTCTGAGACAAAAACGGTCTCGGAGGTACCGGTCCTGGCAAGAGAAGCTTCTGACACATCCTGCCAGGTCGCTCCTCCAGCCACTGCGATAAGCTCTTCACCGCTGAATAGTGCGAGGCAACGAAGGAATACTCGGAGACGACCACGGCAATGGGGTAGATCTTGCTGCCCTCAAAGTACCTCACTCCGGGCGGCTTCAGATTTCGAGTATATAGGCAGGTATAGGGGTAGCTTCCAGGTGAGTCTAGAGCCAGGCACATGGCCTGGCGCCACTCATGGTTGATTCACTCAATGCGGCAAGCAGAAGGCGTGTTGCCCGAAGGGGGCGGAGGATCCCCACTGACCTCTTTGGTGATCTTGGATCTCGTCCTGGGATCTCCATGACCGACTTTGAAAAAGGCCCAAAAAACGAAGACCTTAAGCCGTTTTCGCGATCCTTTCCATGATTTTGGGGGGTCTCAGATCCGATGTGCATCTCGTCTCTCCGAGATGGCGACGCCATCACTCCCTCCAACCGCCCCCCCCCGCCAGGTGTCCGTCCCACTCCCGCAAGGTGGTCGGTCTGTTTCGTCCGTTTCGTCCGTTTCGTTCCAGCGAACGTCCGCGCGCCTGGGGATCCCCAGTTCATCCGTCTCGTCTGGAGGAACGCCGTAGTTGCCCACCAGTGGATACGTCAAGACGAGGATTTGGCCTCGCGAGAGAGGCGGAGGCGGTTCGGAAGAAGCAACAAATTGGTCTTTTCCAAGAGAAGACCCTTCCAATTGATCTCTGTTCAATTGGATCTCTCTATGTAATTGAATGTTGAACACGTTGAACAACAACTCTATGCTATAAAACAAGCACAACGAATAGCATCGCATCACACGTCCGCATGTCGGGCATGCACCATGTCGGCCTGCAAAGGATGGATCCGTCAGCGATTCAGGGTAGCCCATCATGGCAGTGCAAAAGACCACTTCACCTGCCACAGACCTTGTCAGTTGCAACGAACTCGTGGGGTCGCGCGTTTACAAGCCACCCAGCGCCTGGCTTCTAGATGATTGAAGTTTCAATACTACGTGATAAAGCGTGGTTCCGGGTTCAAAGCTTACATCCTCGAGATTCCTCAATTGTTCCAAAAAATGCGGGTTCACCAGGTCAACGATCACCCAACCTTTTTCCGCTTCCCAAGCTGCCAAAACATCTCTTTCACGGGGATCCTCTCCAACGTGCCCTCTCGGTCCCCCCAGCCCATCACCGCCGTCCGTTCTCTCGTCCCAGCGGCCGTTTGGCCCCGAAGTTCCAGCCCCGCCAGCATTCGCCTCGACACGGCCGATGGAACCCGGCTGCGGTGGAGCGCTGGACCAGATCAAAGGTCGAAAGAGGCGACCTGCCACACTCCTTGGGGTCGGTCCAAGCACGTTCTGAAAACCACCACCACCAACGAGTCTTCGGATGGTCCAGTTGGTCACTGCACTGCTTACCCCATGAAATGGTGAAAGCCATTCCTCAAGGAATGTACACTCCCTGAAATCATCATGGTAATGTGAATGGCATGGCCCCTGGGATGACCATTTTCGTCCACAAATAAATATGTCCATCCACGTAACGTAACCATGATGATCTAAATGAATGAGAATGAATGTACAGTAGCTCCGGTCGCCAACACGAGCTTTGGGGCTTACCGAAAAGGAATAGTGCCAAAATCCGCTGTGAATCACTTCCTTTTGGCAGACAGCCATGTCCCGGACCCACAGATCCCTGATCGAGCTACTTCGTTGTTTCGCCAACTGCATATTCTCACTGCCCTAAGAATCCCTGTCCCCTCCATGGCAGGGGTCCGGACCCTTAAAACCCTTCCCATTTGAGGGCCCAGATTCTGCTTTGGCAATGGGATTGTCCACCGAATTGTTTGATCTACCAAACGCTAACACCAGGGTGAAAAGCCAGATCTCGCATGAAACGGCAGCCTGACTTCAACCGCAACTCCATCGGTGTCTTGGCAGAAGCCTCCCAGCAGGCAAACCTGGGAGAAAGTCTTGGTGATGGTTGACTGATAACTGTACAGTGACAATTACGCACAACATTGTGAACACCACTGACTCTGTTTTTTCCCGGGCTGACTGCTACTACAACGCTCCGAGACCCAAGCTCGTCCACCTCCCCAGCAAGAGTCTTTCCATCATTGTCCGGACCTGTGCATGTGCGCATGTGCAAGCACCAACATCAAAGAGTCCTGTCAAATTGCATGGAGCCAGAAATGATATGCTCAATGACCAGTAGCTGTCCAAGCAGTCCGATCGCATGGGACCCGTTTTCTCGCCCGATCGACTCACCATCCACTCAGACTCTGAGATGGTCACGAGGGGGTGGAGCAAACGGCGGATGCTCCCTCGTCTTCATTTTCGTGGCGTCCTCAGCCGAAACCATCCGAGTGACAGATCGTCTCAAGTCGCGGCCACGGTCACAGCCCAATCTCTACTCGAAGACACACTGACTTTGATAAATTGCATGTCTGAGGCTGAAACTCCACCGAGAGCAATTGCAGTTCTGTCTTCTTTTGAGCCAAATGCTCAGGAACGGAGCATGTCAAACTGCAGTGGTTTAGAAAGAAACAAAAACGAAAACATAAAGCAATGAAGTCCTTGAAGAAAGGTCTCAGAAAAAGAAGAAAACACTTCAGGCAGGCCCTTTTTTGTCGCACCTCCTGTAAGAGTCGCTAGCACAGCAATTCCTGGGTGTCGACAGCAATTCGCTTGGTACCTTGAACTTTCTGTCGGTACAGATCAAAAGACGCCAAGCAGGAATCAGCGCCGAAGCGCTCCAAAATTGCCCACCTCACGCGGTGTGGCGCCACGCCATCACTTTACATCGAAACCCTCTGAGCGGAGGCATTGTTTGTGCGCTTCGATGAAGGCTTTGCATTTCTCTTCGCCGTTCATGGTAATGCACTCATCTCGAGCCGCCTCAGAACAGGTGTGAGGCATTCTGTTCTCTTGGGGCCATGTGTTGCCATGTTCCGTTCCGGCTGGTTAGCTGGTTCCTTTCCGGTCAACCGGTCAAGCGCGACCAGTGCGCGCGCCCAACCACCGACCGCGCCTTGGTTTCGGGGCATGCGCAGCACATCTTCATGGTCGGCTTCTTGGCTGCCGGGGCCTGAAGAACCGCCACGTCCCCGCGCGGTCTTTGTGCACCGTTTACCCCGGCGCGGCTTCTTACGGCCGACTCAAGACAGGGTGACCATCCTGTCTGGTCGAAGCACCATGGGTTTTACGGCAAAAACGTGGCAAAAACCAGATCAAGCATTTTGAAGATGGTCGAACGGACTTCCAGGGCATCCCTCAAAATGAAGATCTGTTGTGCTTCAAACTCTGAGCATCGCGAAGTGAGTCCAAAAACCTCAAGGCCAAAAACCTCAAGGAAGGCCCGAGTCAGGTCTACATCTGAGGAGTGGTTGTCCGGTGTCACCGAGCTGTTCGAGGGCTTTCCGGCCTATCCAATGGTCCAAGAATTGACACCTACAAAGTCCAGCAAATGCTGCTATCTCACACTGTGAGAGCTGGATGTCCCATAAATACTGATACAACAGAACATCTGGGCAACCTTAGGCCCTAAACCCTCCTATGTCTTTTCCCGATTTCGGCACCTTCTCGGCACACCGCCCCCCTTGGCTCAGCTCGCCTCCGGCCCCTTGGAGCTCGAGGAACCCATCGCTCTCGAGGCGTCGCCGGGGGTCGATCCGCTCAGTCCGGGTCAGTCCGGGGGTCGATCCGCTCTGCGAGGACGGCGAGCCGTGTTTTTTCGAAGGGGGACTGTGATAGAAGTGATCTGTCAGTGATCTGTGTGAAAGATCTCAAGTCAGAGTTCCAAAAAGCTCTACGTTCTTCAGCGATGCCAACAGGAAACAGCTGCCATGTGATTGGGCCTGTGTCTTTGGGCCAAAGGTGGTGTTTTGCTTTGCACTTCCTTCTCTGCCTTGTCTTCCAAAGCACGTTCCCCCGTGGGGATCGTACAGAAAAAAGGATCACAAAACAAACATAGGTTTGGAACCCAAAAAATGTCATCAACGGGATATCAGGCGTTACGAAAGGGTCTTTTGGAGTCTTTTGGATTGTCTTTCTTGATGAATAGGTCCACGAATACAGTAGCTGTTCGAAACGAGATAAAAGTCAGATTATATAGCTGGTCGCAGAATCAGCTTTGAATCTGTTGGTCACAGAGGCCGCCAAGGTCCTTTTGCTGGACAGGCTGGTTGCCACCCGCAGTATATGGCCTGGGACTTCCCACCTTTGGGAAAGCTGCCCTTCGCAGCTCCTTTTGAGCTCTGTACGCAAGGTGATGGGTCAAGTCCCAGACTTTCTGCACAGATTCCTAGAGATGTTTCCTCATGGCCACGCCGCGAGGCTGGCCGAAAAAAATACGGCCTAGTTACCTCCGAGAGTTTGACCTGGAAGATGAAACTGCAAGAAAACAGGTTGACTGGTTGCTGATGGTTTCAACTCGCTCGAAACATATTCAGTCAAGGTTGAAAAAAAGGAACAACTGAAACCCTCTGAAAACAACCACCCAACCGAAACAGGAAGCCCGTCATCAAAAAGGACCAGGGTCGAACTGCCATGGAACCCTTCGTTCTTTCGCCCGAATTTCAGAACTGCCATGGATATCATGAAACTCAAGTCTCTACCAGCACCCTCCAACAGGTCTCCTCTGGTGACTTTTGTAGACTTAAAAGTGTCAGGTGGTGACCTGTTGGAGGGTGCTGGTATATAGTCGCTTGAATACATCGAAGTTCCTGAGGCCGCCGCCTCTTCCCTGGAATCGGGTTTGCTGCTGTGCTGCTGCCGGAACACCTTGCACGTGCGAATCGCGGTTGAAATGGCGCTCGTCTGTCTTACTGACTCCTTTCTTTCACCAAGACCAACTACCACCACACGACGCCCACTCACACCACCCCGCATTGCCACCACGTCCGCAGCTCGCCGGTCCGCTCGTCCCGCCCACTCCGCCTCTGCCGGTTTGTCGGGCCATGAAGTTGGTCAAGACCGCAGGAGTCTTGATGAAGGTGTATCCATACTCCTGTGGGACCACCTGCCACTGCCAAAGGAATCGGGGGAAGAACCGAAGGTTTGGATGGATGGATGGATGGATGGATGGATGGATGGATGGATGGAGGGCGTCCATGGGGTTCCAACTATCCAACTGGACAAGGAGAACCTCAGCCAAGAAGTAGTAGATGTGTCCCGAGGCCAGGCCAAGCAAGTCCATCCAAATATTGCCACCTGAAGGACAATAACACACAACAGTTTCGAAGGTGTGTTCTCATCTCAAAGCTTCTTGTAAAACGTCTTTCGTCGAGGTGCCAATCAAAAGCTGGAAGAACAGCAGCGCGAACGGGAATTGGTAGCCCTGGTGCGGCCAGTCAGATCAGCCAGTCTTCCTACTCAGCCTGTTTGTTTCCTGAATTGATCTCGGCATATGCAATATGTTTAATTATATATAAACCATTGTTAAACAAGTGTCAAACAAGTGTCCAAGTTATCAAGAGGACGGAACATGGAAGTCCGCGGAATTTCTTTGCTCTTTTTTTCGAGACCTTCGGATCGCAAGCGAAAGAAAGCCTGGATGCTGAAGCTAAAGAACGAAAGCTTGGCATAAGGTTCTCGACCTGAGTTGTTTTCCCATCGATGTCCAAAAGGCTGAACTGTCTTTTTCTCAAAGTCTATTTCATCCAATTAATTAAGGGTTCAACAGGTACCCAGTACCAGTCCAGGCGATCTTTTATGTTTTTTCAAGGCCCCAAATCACCAGTCCGTGCACAGCCACATCACTGGAATCATTCTAGGATCGAAACTGAATACACCTCGAGCATTTCTAGACGGCCATTTGGTTCACCTCCTTGCTCCATCTTCTTCTTCAGGCAGCTGGAACGTTGCGTGGACCAAAGGGCATCGCTACTAGTAACAAGGACGCGACTAGATCTAGGAGCTCCTGGCCGACAACTCCGAGCGGAGCGTTCGGACGCTACTAGCAGCGGAGAACGACGCTACTCGCCGAGCGGTCGGAGCGTGCTCGACTTCACTCTTTCGACCTCGGGCTCCAGCGACTCCAGTAATAGAGGATCGCAAAGACCAGGGACGGACCCAGAAAGGGAAATCCCGCTGGCCAGGCCAATGCCAGGGAGATCACGTCGAGGAGCTGCCATCGAAATGTTCGAGCGATGGCCAGTCGTGAAAATCGGTTCTCTTTCTTGGGGGAAGGGAGGGGATCAGAGGGGAGGGGAATCTGAAACAGACTTTTCCTTCTTTCTGGGAGTCTCTTTCAGTCTTCACTCCAAAACTCTCCATGACCCGAGTCGAGCCGAAACATGACCTAGCCGTTGACCCTCTGTTTTGATAGGAAGTTTGAACATCTTTGGGGTGGTTGATCCAAACTAGAGGTCACTCAGGTCACTCAGGACCAAGTTGATGAAATCTCTTCAACCATGCGACTTCCAAGCCCTTCAGGACATGCTTCCACATGTGTCTCGGCCCTAGAGTCTCTAGGAGTCTCGCTTCCGAGCAAATCACCCCAACTCCATCCCCTACTCCATCCGGGTCCACCAGGATCTGCAGCAGCAAGAAGAATAAATAGTCTCCAGGCTGAGAAAAAGCCTCCCACATTCACCGCCACATGCGTCACAAAACTGAAGACGACGGAAAACACAAGAAGACACACACCCATGTGACCTCAGATTAGCAGAACATGGCAAAAAGCCGTGGGAAGGAAAAAGGTAGGGTTTACTTAAACATCTGAGGGGCCACTCTGTTTCTTGACTTCTGCAGTCTTCAGCCTTTCGGCCGAGCATCTTCCGTTCCTTTTTTGTGCCAAAAGCATCCTCAAGCCTTTTCTTCCAGCCTGGTTCTGCTCGAGCTTGGAAGAGAATGAGGAAAAAAAATACCTTCGATCTTCTCCAAAGCACTGGACCCCGACCGCGACGGCCGCGGGCACTCAGGCGGGCGCTGTGAGTCAGCGGGCTTCGTGGAATTGGGGGAGAACGCGAGTAAGAAAGGTAAACGCTGGAACAGCTGGGTGTGTATTTTAAAAAGGGAAACCTCCCAACCAATGGGTAGACTGGTCTATTTCCCTTCTTCCAAAGGGGTCGAACTGGGAGGTCTGCTATTTTAATAAGACCCTGAAGTTCAAGGCATCACAAGGCGCACATCTGGAACAAGAACTGGAAGCTAAAGGTTCCGAAGAAGGAGACCGGCGTCAAGAGTCTCCAGACCTGAGCGGATGGATTTGTGTCCAGCTTTGAAAACAATGAAGATTGAATTTATCAGCCATTGTCCTACCCAAAAGCAATCACTTGGCTTCATCTGGTTCAAGACAAACAAAGAGGTTTCAATCCGAACACTTTCACTCGTCCAAACGTCACTAGTCACGTCACGCGAGCAACGCGCGTTCAACCGTTCAACGCACCTGCAGCTTGTTGATGACCATGGGCCAATTCAAGGCGATCAGCATCGGATCCAAGAAGCCCAGCTGCACAAAGACCGTGGTCACGAAGAAGGCCGTCAGCTGGAGGGCGCGCGGTTTACGCGTGAGCGGATAGGCGCTCAAGCGGATGGCCAAAGCGTCCGGGACCCCTCGAACGAGGTCCCACCCGGTGTTGGATTTCGGATGCGGGGGCATCCGCACAGAAGCAAAAGGTGGATAGTTGATGGTTGATCTTCAAAGGATTTGGAGGATGAATTGGCAAAGCAAGGTCCCAAACCGCTCAGAACAGGTTTTGGAACGTGCATGAGGAACAGCAAATCCGAACAACGTTTCAGCCAGATTCGTTTTGTAAGTGCTGACGGCGGGCTGCAATTCTCGTCAGGATAGGCAAATTCTTGTACCTGCGTGCAAACGAAAATGCAACAGGAATAAAATTGTTGTGGAGAGATTCCGAATTGCGCACCATTGTTCTGGAGTATTCTCCATCTCTTCTGATTGGACCTCACCTCGTCCAACAAGCGTTTGATTCATAAGAGTGAAAAAGAACGTGGGAGGATCAAATATATCAAATCTTGATGTGCACAAGTAAGTTCCAGGCAATGCGTAGGCAAGTGGAGTCTAACGTTTTCCCTACCTAATCTTAAACTGTGGGCCAGAAATGCAACTGGTGGGCGAGTTCACAATTGATTGTCCGCCCTGCCCCCCCCCCCAGTGCCTCTGGAAGCTGAAATGGCTCAGAAGAATCACAACACACATCCCTTTTCATGTGAGCGCTTCACAAGAAGCTCGCAAAGTGTTTGGCGAGTTTTCCACAAGTGTTGCAGCAAGGCCTCAAAGGAGCCAGCCTGCAGCAGGCACTGAACCATGCTTTCAGCGACAGAAGCTTGTTTCAATGCTTCGTGGTCGCGCTCAGCGAAAGCCAAGGAATGTTGCCAGCTACCTTTCGAGATACTTCTCAAGAATGCCGCCGCACCATCCGAGCTGGCATCAGGCTCCAAATTCGCATGTTGAGTCGAGGCTAACACATTGATGGCAACCTGATGGGGGCAAGAATTGCATGCCATGTCAACGAGAAGGCAACTGCTATCCTTCCTCTTCAAAACTGGTCGCGTATTCGAAGTCTTTATCGAGGGGAAAAGCATTGGTCAGCATGCCCATCAGCACACCTCCCATAAAGTGCAAGAGCCCAGCAGTGTGCTGGTAATCGCACCAGACAAACCCTTCCAAGCTGAAATGGTGGCGGCGGCTTGCAACAAAGATGATTCCCAAAAAGAGCCAAATGCCAAGGCTGAAACACCTGCGCTCCACGCAATGCCATCAAGAAGAACACCGCGCTCACGCGTTGCATGCAGAAACCCCACAGCAGATGCCCATTGCTTGGCAAGAGTTGCGGCAGAAACCAAGGAACAGCCGGTCACAACCTTCAAGGCCAAATCACCATCTTCAACACAAGTCACATCGTGAACAATTCAGCTGCAGAGTAGATGACACAAATTGCAAGATGTTCACATGAGACTCAACATAAACCATCTTTGGCGGATTGCGCCAAATCCGGACCCCTTCCAACCAAATGGGCCCCTCTTTTTAGGCCTTCCCTCCGCCCAAAAAAACCACCTCCGGTCGGTGAGCCCAAACAACCCCCAAAAAAAACAAACAAAACTCAGCCGAGCAGCATCAAATCCGATGCTGACCTGCTGCAAGGCCCGGTCCCAAGGGCGAGAAGACGCCGGTACCGCACGTCCCGCACGTCCCGCTCCAGCGGCAGAACCGGGTCCACTGGGTCCACCTTCACTTCGACCTCCCAGCAGCGCATTCTGGGTGATGAGATGGGCCTGAAGCCTCCTCCGAGCCAACTGAGAAGCCAAAGAACTGGCACTTTCCCAGCGGCTCGCCCTCGTGAAGCCGGAGATCACAGACGTCCATCCGTAGACATCCGCCTCCCCAAGGAGTAAGCCAGGGAGGGAGGTCATGCGCCCCACTGACATGGAACCAGCGTGGCATCATGTGATTGGATGGTGTTTTGAAGGAACGACCGTCCAACGGGGTGATCCAGCATGTTCGGCTTGTGTTTGATTCGTGTGATCTCTTTGATATATATATATATATTGATAATATATTGTTTGAGTTCTATTTTGCATGATACTCATGCAACCTTCTTTTTTGATAATATCTACACCTATGTTTTGCTATTTTTGCGGTTGGTACGTTGCTCGTGTCCTTGATCTCGGAACCCTCCAAGAGGGACCCTCCGCTTCTCCAACTGGAAGCTGCCGCGGCTCCAAGTGCCATGTTGATCCTCATCATGCTGCCTAGGAGGGAAGAAACGAGTTTGGGCAAACTTGGCATCCACACGCAACGAAACATGCTGAGGTTCCTGGCCAGAGAGGCCACACCCCCTGGCCTTCCAAAGCCAAAACACTGCCTGGCGCTCTCGCTGCGCGGACGCACCTAACGAGGTTCCGAGTTCTAGACCAAGGATGGCAGGAGGGCGCGACCAAATCTCAGAGTCGAACCCGGTGTTTCCATGGTTTTTGCAGTAAGTTTTACAAAAAGCAGTCACTAAGGGGTGGTGTTTAGTCCCTAAGTGAGTGGATAAGCTTTCCTTAACTCCACCTAGCCACTCAGGAACCACGCCTCCTTCCAAGAATGAGCTCCAAGTGCCCCAGTGGCGGCGTCGAAAGTGGTGTCAAGTAGTCGCAGTCTCTTGGAAGAAATCTGATCAAAGAAACGGCATGCGTGAATACAATAGTGGAACCTGGACATACGTCTAGTCACGTCTTTGGCAGACCACTTCGAAAGGAATATCAAGAAGGTCCAGATATGTCCAGATTCAGAACACCGCACCTCTCTGGAGCTGCTATGCTGCCGATTTATTCAACGAACTATGTTGCTGTGGCATGCCTCCTGAAGGAATGCCGCCGCAAGCCGCCAAAAGCGCGTGCGTTGAAAGCATGAGACCGCTGCATTGGCCATGATCACCTCAAGATCGGATATAATGGCGCGTCGTGCTTTCTTGGATTGGACAATGGCATACAATTTTCTAGGCATGGATTCAGTTGTTATACTGTAGATCTGGAGCCTGTTGCTTGTGCCCTCTTGTGCCGCATCGATCCCCACGCCGACCCACGACTCAGAGGGATGCCTTGATGTCTCCATCTTGAAGTCAAGAAGCATTTCGCTGAAGACCACACTGAGGGATGTAGCTGAAGACATTGAGCACATCCCGCCAAGCCAAGCCCTTTCCTTCGCTTCACTCCAGAGCGTTCCGGCTTCTGAAGCGGGTAAAATGCTGGACGGATGCGGAGACGAGCAGGAAAATGGGAACGAGCACCTTTTTCGGACCCTCTGATCGAAAGAGCGAAGAAACCGAAAAAGTATAAAAAAGAGTCGGTCAAAGCAGCTGAGGTTCCACAAGAATCCAGTGCAGCACTACACAAGACGGCATCAAATGCACCAGCATCTCGTGCCAAATCCAGCACCCTCAAGGCAAAGACCTGCGGCTGAATGAGGTCACGGGCTGCAGGATTCCTACCAGTGTTGAGTTGCTACTCTCCTTCGCTGTTCGCCCCCATTTCCAAGTGGCGAACGGTTCTCCACAAGCGACTCCAGTTCGACTCATTGACTGGTGCCTATGATTTAAGGACGTCCGGTGGTCTCGGACAAAGCAGAAATCCTAAGACTCCAGGCCATGGGTGTAACATCTGACCCGACCCCAGTAGAACACTGGTCATCCCCATGCAGCGCTTGAGGGTCCGGCCCAGCTGTTGCTCGCAGAGCAGGACTTGATGCCCAAGGTCGCAGCCGGCTCATCCAGCTGCAAGCCATGATGCTTCAGGTCAGCGAAAAGCCGACGGAAGGCCAAACGCCAGCGACCGGCTCTCACATCACTGGAGGCCTTCTGGCTCAAAGCTACCAGGCTCATGCAAGAACCTGGTGGGAAAACGGCGGCGACCGGGAAAGTCGACTCTAGGTCACCACTGTGGGTCACCACTGTGGGTCACCACTGTGGGTCACGTGGCGAAAGCGGGACAAGGACCAAGGATTGGGTGGTGCAGGTGTTTGAACAGGGGGGCCCCCAAAAAACATTGCAGCCAGGGGGCCACAGGCTGTGGCCTCCCTATCAAGATACAAACCCATTTGGACATGTTTCTGGACAATCGCTTCAGCGGACTCTTTTCCGTCATGGCCCCACGCACCGTTTCGTGCTTGCACGGTCAGACGGTCAGCCCTGCTGGCTGCCAAAACGAAAGCAAAAAGGCAGGGATGCCCCCTTTACAAGGATATGAGACCACTGTCCTGACAAACAAACTGCCAAGGATACTTCAAGTGCAAAGACGATCAGGAAAAGCCCAACAGAGCCCAATGTCTGGCAGAAACACTCCAGTCCTCGAGACCATCGAATTCATGTTCTACCTCCGGCTCTGTGACACCATAAAATGATGGACCCTTAGCTGCATGGTCAGTGGTTTCTCACGGGGTGCCGTGTTCCAATCTTGGACACCTGTCGACGGTTGGACAGTGCGCATGACAGGCCATTTCCTGGGCCCCTGGCTTTGGTCAAAATCTTCGTGTGTGCTGCCTCGAAGGCGCGCAAAAGCCGTCACCCCATGTATTGGCGCGTTTTTCAACATTCCACCCTCCCGGCTACCGGAACAGGGAACCGGCCACCATTCGGTTCCCCGCCTTGGCGGCACTCCCCAAGGCTTCAAAGCTCGTGGACGACGACATCGTCTTCGGCGTCAAGATGGCCTTGAAGAACTGCGCGCGGGGGCGCGCATCCTGCGAGGTCCCGAGCGGAAACCAGCGCAAATCCGAACGAGCTGAAACCGGTGAAAATGAAGGTTCGGTGGGGGGGGGGGCTAGGCCGCTAGGCCTATCCTGATAGACTCTGATAGACCCTAAACATGTGACCGCCTTGCCTGTGGGAACTTCTTGAACTTCACCCGGACTTTGCGCTCCGGCAGCTGCGCTGCCTCCTTGGACATGAAGTTCCAAATGAAAGCCAACAAGTCGCGCTCATTGTCTCGGAACTCCTGCAGAATCCCTTGGCACATCATGGGCAAAGTGGCCCTCTCAGGAACCGTGTCACGAAGCTGCACCTCCACGAAAGTACTCACAAATTGATGTGCCATGCAATCGAGTTCTTGCTCCAAGTTCTCTGGAGTCAACACTGGAATCGCAGAGAGGCAGCTCAGCGTGCCACGGTTCAAGGTCAAGACCACTCTCAAGTCTTGCTTCGGCAAGATCCAACTTTCTGGGGAGATGCCCAGGTACAGGCAAGCTTGGACCTTTCCACTCGCCCACGGAACTTTCGGGAGCTGCATCTTTGGTAAGCAAAGAGGTCCCAACGTATCACTTTGCCCCACCGCTTCATCCAAACGGCTCACTGGAGAGTCTGGTCCATCGTCACCGTTCACGCGAGGCACGGGTCTCGACGCATGGGGCAGCTTTCCCCAACAGAGTCCAAAGACTCCCATCAACTGCCTGGCGCGTGCGCGCGCCTGGCGCGCCGCCTGCGGGTCACTGCGAGGCACGTGCAAAATCACGGTCTCGATCTCTCGCAGGCTCATCGGCCTGAAAGCGCCAGGAGCTGTGGCGTTTTGGAGCGGCGGCGGGATGGGTTTGGGGGTTTTGTGGTTTGGAGAATTTGGAGGTCTTCGCGGGGCGCGAACTGCGGGCTGTTGGGGTTCTGGTCTAGGGTCTAGGCTCTAGACAGCCTGTGTGCTCCCTGTCCGAGTGTTTCGCGGCGACCGTTCAATGATGCGATCCAGTCGCAGGTTGGGGAGTCCAAAGGGTCCTTCAAAGGGTCCTTCAAAGCTTTTCTCCGTCTACAAGATGATGTTCTTCCACCTGGTGGATGCTTTGCTATCTTGAGGGAGCACCATTTTGTGGCAGAGATCATCTTCCAGTCTGGCAAGGGGTTCTACCAAGCCTTGGCCCAGAACCAGGACAACCGCCGTTAATGCAACGGCAGACCCCCTGGTCAAACCACCCATCCCCTGGTCAGCGGCCTTGACCCAATCAAATAGCTGACTCGATTGCGAAAGTTGCTCATCTCAGATTTTGTCTGCGGAGCACCAAAAATCAGAAATCCATGCAAGAGAAGACAATGATATATATTGACCTCAGCGGCTACCCACTCTCTGACGGGGTTGAAGGAGCGCCAGCTGTGTTTGTGCGCCAACAACTGAGGCAAAGGACCCAAAAGGCCAATTGCTCAGCTTCACTCCATGAGGCAAATTGAATAGCCTGCAGGTAGACAGCAGCATCTGCTGTGGAAGTGAAAATGAAGAGGAAAAAAGCATGCAGCATGCTGCAAAACCCAGCTGTGGAAGTCTGGCACGGCACGTGGTGCATTTGGATCTGTCACAGGGTGCATTACAGCACCCTTAGCAAGATAGGGAGGGAGGAAGAAAGAGAGAGAGAGAGAGAGACACTACCAGCTTCCTCTGTCCGAGGCACCTTCAGCAAGCAAGTGGCATCAAGGAACGAAGCTACATCTCCAGCTGCTGGCACATCACCCAGGGAAAGAGCTGTTTCGAGAAGAACTTGAGCAATGTCCGACTCAAAGGCCTGCGACACATGTCTGCTGCGACACGTGGATGCAAAAAAGAATGCAGGACATACATGACGACATGTCTCTGCCCGGTGCCTTGTCAATGTGGGGGGGGGTCACCTGTCTGGAAAACGTGAGACATCATGTCGGGCCTGCTTCGGTGCACTGGTGAGAATCCGGTCGTTCAGCACCAAGCGTCTTCGATGTCCCCAGCGGCGTGCGCGAGTAGAGTCCATCAAGAGAATGGCCTCCTTGGATGGCACCCTTTGGCCACTGGCGATGGCGCGCAAGGAGGCCTTGGATCGACTGGCGATGGCGCAAGTGGCATGGGTGAGGGAGGGCGGAAAAGAATTGGGATGGTGACACCCATCACGGAAATGGGCGAGGGGAAATGAAGTGATAACCTCTTCAAAGGCCCGCATCGAAAAATCCTCCCTCTGGGGACCTAGCACAGGTCCAAGGGAAGGGAAAGGAAAACATCACCCGAGGCCCTGCAGTGTGCAGCCAGAATGCCATCCCCTTAGACGCTCCACCGGCCACTTTGACCGCGGCCTTCTTAGCAATGGACCCAAAGACGTCTGCAGGTGTCGACCTGGTGGCGCCAAACTGGCAAAGGCGATGTGAAGGAATTGTTCCATCCAGTTGACCTGGCCTTTCTACTACCTTCCGGTCAACTGGAGGAAAGTCAAGCAGACGTCTTGAATGGAAGCCTAGGGCCTGAATGACTTCTACCTCTAAGTTGACCTGGCCTTTCTACTAGGGCCTTTCTGGCCTTTCTGCACCACAGTCATTTTTGGAAATGCTCTCCCACAAGAATCGGAGGCGGGATGTGGCTGGCAGAGAGGACCACACCCGGGCCATTCTACGATCCACGGAAAACACCACGACGGAGGTGGATCTCTGTTTTTCCTGAAAACGTGAAGTGTTCATGGTGGCCATCGACTCATCGAATGTCGGCTCTGGATTATATATCCACCCAGTTTGGGGGTTCGTAAAACCTCTTCATATCTTCTATTTTGCTATTGATCAAGAGTCTACATTCCTCCTTCCTCATTCCTCTCCGCCTGGAGGACTTCCATGTGGCCGGCGTCTTTGGGGTCATGGGCTCCCGGGGGGAGTCGATCTGCTGCTTCGTCTCCGCGGGAGTCAGGAGCTGGCTGGAGTCATGAAACTGGGACATCACTTGCTGCAGATTGGAGATCCACAACTCCCGATCCGCGCCATCCGCGCAGCAGAACACAAAGACTCGCAGCACCGTGTGCACCTGGCTTTGGGGACGGAATCTCAGGTGTGATGGAAGAAGTACGCAAAGCTTTTGGAGGCCGGTCTGTGCCACAGCGGGGTGCGGCTTGTGTTAGTGGGCTGGTGAGATAAAAAGTCTGACTGAAGGAGTGATGAAACAAAAGTATCCAATCTTACTTTTATATAAGAAAGCTCTGTCACTCTTTTCAGCCAGCTTGTGGCGGTGGTGGGTCGACTTGAGCAGCCGGCGAAACATTCAGTCGCTCTCTTACCAACCAAGAAAGCTCTGTCACTCTTTTCAGCCAGCTTGTGAGGTGCTGTGTGCTGTAGTGGCCATTTTGGCCTGGTCTTTCAACCCATTTGCCCCTTCTGCCCAGTCGTGAAGACCTCGGTGGCCTGCTTCTTGAACAACAAATTCCACGCCGTCTCTGGGAATCTGGCTTCTGAGAACCTGACACTGTCGGCCAGGACTTGTGGGAACACCTCCATGGCTGTTAGGATTCGAGCACGGACTTCGGGTGCAATGTCTGTCATGAAGGTCGATGCAGCGACCTCCTGGAGGTATATGTCCATCACCTTCAGTGATATCCAACGCCCGCGGCGTCGGACCATTTCAGCCGACTCCGTGATGCCAATGAGGTAGGTGGCACCCCCTGGCCGAAAAGATGCCAGTGTCAGTGGCTTCTGCTTGTTCACCATCTTAGTCGGTAGGCCGAGCTTGGCCAAAACTTTGTCAAGTCGGTGCCTCAGGGTTGAGGGCGAACAAGGCCAGATGTGCTCGTGAGGCTTGAGCCTTCCGATCCCAATCCATGCCACTGCAATGAGGTCGGGAGGCTCCAATTTACTTGATTGGTGGCGAGCAGCCCTGAACCTCGTCTTGGGTTCAAGGATCTTCAAAAGCACATGGTCGATTGACCAACGGACGTCATGAGGGAAAATAACGTCCTTCCGCTTTGCGTTAAGCAGCTCTCCACTTCTAAGCAGCATTCCCCAACACATTGCGAAGATTGCTGCTTCTCTTGTCCATCCCCATACCAGGCATGTTGCCAAAACTGCCAGGAGCACTTGGACCGGCATGGCCCTGTGGTGCTCAACCGGCTCGAAGGATGTCCACATGGCACAGAGATCCCATGCCTGCTGCAAAGACCTCCGCAGAATTGGGCGCTTAGCACTGATCAAATTGATCGTTTCCGAGAGGTGGTAGTATGGCTTCCCTGATGAGAAAAGGTGCCGCCCGTACTTCGTGAGCACCTGGTTAGCCCTGTCTAAGTCCGGAGGGTTGCTGAGGAAAATTTCATCAAAACAAAGTCCTTCATTCCTCAGCCACGCATTCAATGCAGCTGCTAGGCCACTGCGAACCGAAGAGGTCAGCTCGGTAACCCGCCGACCATCAGGCAGCTCCAGGCCTTCTCGTAGCTTCTTCCGGTGCTCATCTCCATGGCGCGCGCCCGTCGCCCGACCTAGGTCTGTGCTAGCTAGGAGCAAAAGAAGTCCAAGTAAAGAACAACTGGTAGGGCCTTCTCCCGGAAATCCAAGAGTGGCATCAAAGTCCAAAGCAACGGGTGGCTCAAAGTCCAAGAGAGGGCCATACCGCCTGAAGCAGGAGCGGTCGGTAAAGAAGGAAATCCAGGAGGGACAGAGCATGAGGCTCAATCGCAGCCAATTCGAGGTCCACCTCCGCATACTAGAGAGTGAGGCCAGCCATCTCCACTTCTCTTCGTCAAGCTCTAGGAAGCTAGGCTTCAAAGCAACAGGAATCTCCGTATCCCTAGTTGGGTGATCAGCAGGGTTCATTCTCGTAGGTGCGAACCTCCCTGCTTGATACAGACCATAGGCCAGCGAAATGGAGCTGGCTCTTTTCAGGAGATGTCGAAGGGCTCCAGAGGCACTTCTCCCTCTTGTGAGTGCACAGAGAGCAACATGGGAGTCAATCATGCTGACAAAGCGAAGGTCGCCCCCCTTCAATGCTTCTGCCTCATAGGCTCTCAGAGCAGCTGCTGTCTCCAGGATGTTGATGTGTGAGGAGCCTTTCCATCCCCAACTTGCATAAACCTCCCAGTCGCAAGAAAGAAGAACCTCATTCGTCATCACATCCTCCAGCCCTTGGTTTCTCTCTGATGCCTCCTCCGCCTCCTTTCGCCAGTGCACATGCCTCGCAAAAGTCTGGGCTAATGCAGTAGCCAGGCCAGCACAATAAGTAGCACTGGGCTTCGTGAACTTTCCCTCAATCCTGATGTGTGTATGGTTCTTGGAGCATTTCCTTGCCAGAGACTGGGCTCGCATGCTGACTGTGAGGAGTGCAAACTCCTTTTGATGAGGAGACCCATACTCACAGGATGCGAGGTGAACTTCATCAGCTCCTAGAACTCTAAGCCTCTTCCACTGCGGTGTCCACCTTAACTTGGATCGCCTTGGGGTCTCCATCATCCCAGGGGTCTTGGTGCGCTTTCCCACCAGCAGCAGGCCCATGCAAGAAAAGGCCATCTTGTTCCCATGAACGACCCGTGGATGCTTTGGATCAATGCCCAGGGGCTGCCGATAGGTGCGAAGACACGGATGAGCCGCAGGGCTGAATGTAGTGCAAGGCGGGGCAGCCAGGAATGACAAGAGCCTGCCTTCTTCACACATAAAAGCGACCCAGGAGAAAACCTTTCTGTCAGTAATGTCATACCTCCTCGAATAGCTCAGATCAAAGACCGGGCCACATGTCAAACCAAGGCGGCAAGCCTCCTTTGTCACAACACCAGCGCCTCCACAAAGTTCGATAAAATCGAAACATAGGCCGACTGGCCTGTCAATCTCCTCATTCTGCCACAGCCGCTCCTCATCGTGGTCTACCTCCTCAAAAGATTCATCGTGGATTCGATGTAAGGCGGCAGTTCGGCTTTGTAGCCGTGGGTTCTTTGCTCTCCTTGATGCAGTCCTCCACAAAGTCCGTGACAAGGCCTCACTCACCTCAGTGGTCACCAAGCCCCCCTTTCTCGTAGAGGCATCAGAAGCATAGACTGTCTGTGAGAAGGGAGCTGCAATGTTGGAAGCTGCCAAGGGCCCTAGACATGCCAGGACCAGTAGCTCCTCTGCTGCCCGACGGGGCAGGGGTCTCAGCTTGGGGTCTCGCGGTGATAGTTCGGCTGCTTCGATGACATGGAAGAGATGGTTGATGTGAGCCATCATAGGTCTCCGGTACAGGAGAGCTGAGATCCATGAGCCCATCAAAGATGCGTGAGCTCCATCTGAGGTGTAGGGAAGGTTAGCCACATTTGCGCTGAGCATCATCAGGCCAAACCGTTTTGCAGGAGGGGCACCCAGAGATACAAGTCCTTTCTTGACCACATCAACCGAGGAGTTCACTTCTGCTCCAATGATCTTGAAGTGGAGGCTGTTGGACACTTCTTTGTCATCTGAACCAAGGATGCCACTGGTGGCATACGCATCCTTAGCTTGGATCAGCGTCCTGCTGGAGGCGCTATCAGTGAGGTAGGTCTTTCCAGAAGCTTGCTGTATGGGCTCTGCAAACAGCGAGAAGAAGTCGTCAATGACCAGGCCCGAGACTGGCTTATTGTGTAGGATCGTCTGATTGTTGCAGAGACGATTCCACCAAGGATGGCAGCCAGTCTCTTCCAGCAAGGTAGAATGGGCACAGCATGCTATTTCGACTCCCAGATGGTCACCCTGGAAGAGGGCCCCAAAAGCAGCGAAAACCGAGGTGGATTCATCACAATCAACCAGAAGGGGCTTTGGCATGCCCAAAAAGTCTCCAGCTTCTTCCCTGCCACTTCGGCCTCTCTTTCCACTGAAATCCTCCACAAACCTCTCATAGGCCCTCGTCCCTTTGAAGTCCACGAGCTTGAAGGGAGGATAGACCGTGTTTGTGGCAGTACGCTCATAGGTAGTGGCAAATTGATGGTAAAAGTCCCTTCTGTCTGCAATGGAGCCCACAAGGACTTCTGAGAACCTCTTGACCTCCAGCTGAAGCAGTGTGGTGGCATTTGGGATCTCATGCGAAGGCCCTCCACTGATTCTGCCTTCGACATAATTCCTTCCACGACGGTCGCCTATCTGCCTGTCGGTGGTGTGGTTCTTGTAATTGCCAAAAACCCGTGTGTGAAGAAACAGCTCTTCAGGCGAAGGTCCCATCGAGGAGGGGATCAGGTAGAGCAGGTTGTTAACATCCCACAGACGACATAGTTGGAAGATCTGCTCATAATCTCCCTCTCGAACATCTGGGAAACTCCCCGCTGGCGGGCGTACATGAAAGCGATTGACCTCAGGCTCAATGAATGGCATGTATAGAAGGTCTGACAACAGCTCATCACATCTCCAGTTGCCACTTCCTGTGAGTCTAATCCTTGCTGCATCAAGGGGCCGATACGGCCTCAACTCCTCACAGACCGTGTTATCTTCTGGAACATGGTGTCCTGCATCAGAGTGATGATAGAGGGAGGTCGGTTGCAAGCCCAGAGAATCCAAAGCATTCGAGAGCTCCCTCATCCTTGCATCTAATTGAAAACTTTTTCGTCCACATCCGGCTAGAGACACTGTCACCGGAGGGCCGCACGCCTTGAGAAACGCTCCAATACGAGCATAGACTGCTCGATGCTTGGCAGAGGGGCGTCTCCGGATGAGCTGCAAAATGGACATAGGATTCCGGAAGTGCTCATAAGTCAGGGTCATCACAATCATGTGCATCAACTTCTTGAATGCCCTGCAGCGCCGCTTCCTTTGACTGCTCAAATCCGGGCCATCCCATACTATATCCACAAAGGGCATGGGAATGGGAAACAAGGCGGTAGTGACGCTGTCAGTACGACCGTCACGGCTGGCTGAAAGTGTCCTCATCATGAAATAAGAAAACTTAGTCTTGGAGGACAGGACCTGGCGAAGGAACTGATGTATCCAGCTTTGAAATGGGACTGGTGTCATCGTCGCCAGGATATTCTCCTGCCCTTGACCACTTGCATCTAATTTGTCTTTGCCCTCACCCACCTTCACACAACGTGACTTTCTGCCAAGCTCCAATGCAGCAGGATCCGGGGGGTGAGCGCCGTCTTCTTCAATTTCATCCTCCCTTGGCATGCGGCCCTGTACTTCAAAAGGCATACCATCATAATCTCTCCAAGAGCTCTCCCGCTCTTTCATAGATGTCGCGACCACCTGAACCTCCTTTGAAGCAGCCCTGTCATCCTCCTTTCCCCTCCCCGAGTGTCTCCGACCGTTGTAAGCAGAGGACTGCTCTGAGGTAGAAGAACTCGGCAAGAGATCACTGGGGGAGGTACCAGGAGGGCATTGGTGGGCTAGGAGGCAGCATGGTCCTGGTTTGAGGCAGACTTTGCCTTGGGGAACCTGCCTTTCTTCTTGATGGGAGGATTCCCTGAAGCCTGGTTGCCCTGATTTCCAGCCTTTGGATGGGTCACTTCCTGCCTCTTCGTCTGAATATAGTCCATTTCTTTGGAGTAAGCCAAGGCAACAGTGGTCCATTGTTGAGGTGCCAACGCCGAGAAGCTCTTGGACCGCGGATCGAAACTCTGGCTCCTGTACCCCCATAGCTGAGAGGGCGGTTCCTCCAACAACATCATCCTGTAGGCAAGTTCCCATCGATTGCCGTCCAGATTTGCCTGGTCCACTCCTACCATCAACAGGGCAAGATAGTCCCGAGCTCCATTCAGGTCCGAATGGACAAGCGCATCGCAAATGTGCGCAAGAGCATACTGGATCAACCCCAGTTCTTTGTATTGCCCGTAGCCGCCAAAGCGTTCTAGGTAGTGAATCATGGAAAAATCTGTTGCTGCAATCTCCTCGATCGTGCTGGGCTTTGGGCTGGCCGGCTTCAATCTCTTTGCAGCATTTTGCAGGACAGCAAGATAGAAATTCCCTGATTTCTGAGCTAACTCTCTTTGCAGCTTTTCTCTGCCAACCGATCCTCTGGTGCCTAATGAGCCGCTCGATGATGATGGCTGCCCGTCGAGAAGTGGATCTCCGCCCTGTTGCATATGCGCAACCAAAGTCATCAAGGCTTTGCTCTGCTCCAACATAGCCTTTGCAAAGGGATCCGCATGAGCTGCTGGACTGGACTCTTCCGCAAAAGCCTGAGGTGGCACGTTTCCATCGAGCCCAGAAGTAAGCGTAGCTTGACCCGTCCCAAGATGAGGAAGGGGCCGGGTCTTCGGAGGCTGCCCCATCATCTTTGCAAAACCTGACACACCTTGAACTGCGGCAGACACCGGCAGCTGACTGGCCCGTGGGGGAGGTGTCACCTTCTGCTGCTCCAAGGACTCTTGAAGGGCTACCTGACCTTTTTGAAGCTCGGAGATTTGATCCACCATAGAGGGGATAATGTCCATTAGCCCGGAGAGTTGCTCCGAGAGAACAGCAGTCGTCACCCGTTTCTTTGGAGGATCCTTCGGCGGGTCCTTTGGCCGGCCTGTAGCTGCACTTCTGGTTGGACTGATCCCTCTGGCAGTCAGCTCCTCTCGAGATGGGAGAGGTACCGCCTGAACAGGCTCCTCCACGAACTCTGCCCCTTCTTCCGCGGAGTAATAGGCCACTCTCTGCCCTGCTTGATCTGCGATCCAAAGCCTGATAGCATCTACCAATGCATGAGGGTCCGGAATGATGTCGAGGTCCTCTCCAAACCCAATCAGGCCTTGGTCTTCGGACTCCGGAACCCAGGACAAGGGAGTGATGGCCTGCAAGGCTTCTTGTCCAAGATCTACCACATGAAGCGCGATGTCCACTCCAATGTGGTCCAAACCTGCATCTGACATTCGAACTCCAGGAACTTCTAGCTGTACGTGAGGTCCCACAATATCCCCTTCTCGGGGATCCAACGGCAAAGAACCAGCAGGGACCAGGGCTGTAGGCATTGCAACTAGCACCCCTCCTCCTGCTGCCTGTCTCACCATGGCTATCATGCACAAACCTGGCCGTGACTGAACCATGTTGGGGTCCGGTGGCCAAAAGACTCTGAACAACTCCACATTCTCCTCCACCAAAGGAACTACTGCACTTAGCTCCATTGGTATACCTTCTCAGGGTATGGGATGTTGAGCCCAAGGCAGTACACCTTTGCTTCAGCCTTGGATGCAAATCCGTGGGACAAGCTGCCAGCCTCCGTGAAATCCCCCAACAATGCCCTGTAGTCCGCTGCCTTCTCAACACGGACAGGCTCTGTGATGCCCTTGGCACGAACCACCACGTACGTTGTGTTTGCCACGTCGCACGGAGATGAGGGGCGAGGTTTGGAGATCCTGCCCTCAAGAACAAATCTGGCCCACACTCCCGCAGACCAGGCGCGCTCAGCGCGTTGCTTGAAGGATAGTTTGCCCCCCCGCAAGTTGCCGCAAAGGCGAAGAGCCTCAGAAGGCAACTCAGGCACTTCCAAAGCCAGGGCGTTGTAGGCCGACGAGTTGGATGAGGTCCTTGACGATCCAGGGCCTTGGCAGGCAGAGTTGACCAACTCAAAATCCTCGAAGGTGCCGTGATTGCCACCCTTCTCAAGTTCAATCACCTTCTTCTCCAAGATATCAACACGTATCAGCAGCTGTTGGACCTGAAGCTTGAGGAGGTCAACAGTGCTATCGCTCATATAAGTAGGCTCGGATCCGGTCGGACCCAGAGGGAGTACCAGGAGCTGGCCTGGCAGGTGGAGAGCTCGTGCCTGAGCTCAGAAGGAGATGGAGAAGGCCAAATCGAAAGGCCACCAGGAGGACAAGGCCGATGCCAAGAAAGAGCCCGAAGCCAAGGCCCGAAGCAAAAGCCAGGACGAGGCTCGTGAGAGAAGGAGGCCCGCAATGTGCAGGGCAGGCCAAACCCCACCAGTTGCTCTGAACTCCTAGCTTGACAAAATCGAGCACAGACCCTAGAGAAAACGGCGCGGGCATCGACTTGAGCAGCCGGCGAAACATTCAGTCGCTCTCTTACCAACCACTGTTATGATCTTTTGTGTATGTCAGCCTGGCTGTAAAGCCCTGAAAAGTCATCCTTGACATGTGAACACCATCGCGCCTGCCACAGCAGGAAGCGTCCCAGAAAAAGACCTGGCACCGAATCGACCTGCTGAATCTCCGACACATGCACACTCACCCGGGGCTTTTCACAGTCGTAGGGCGTGAAGCATCTGAGGATTCCATCGGAGGAGAGTCGCAAGAGCTCCTCGCAAAGCCTTCCTTCAAAGTGAACGGCACCCACCAGGGCCTCAGGCAGAACGCAAATCTCATACATCGCCAACTGCTGAGAAAAAAACGACATACCATGTCCTAGTTCACTGGTTCTGGAACAAACTCCGCGGCCAGGCACCTCTTGGACAATCTTCCCGCGGCCCTGCCGCGCGTGTGCGAAGGCCAAAGCGCAAATCACACTGTCAGACGCCATGAAGAAGCGTGGGGCGATGGACGGCCAGCGACGCCGTCGTAGACCCATGGCGCCTTTTCGAACCTGGAAGCAGGGAGAAGGATTGTATTTGACGAATAGCTTCGTATGAGGTGTCAGCCATACAACCGTCAAGAATGGGTATGGCCCAACCCTTCAGATTGAAATCTCTGGGCATTGTATGGAACGACAGTTCTGTAGAGCATGCGGGAGCCCCCTTTGAAACAAGTATCCTGACAACATACAGGAAATGTGACACTTAGGACATGAAAGTCACGACCATGGTCACCACGACGCTACACCAACACACACTCTGCTATACCATGCTGAGAAGGACAAAAACGTCGGTTTTGTTTCTGCAGCCTCCTGCTCCACTACATACCATGACCCTCCACCGCGCGTCCCGAAAGGCTGTGCGCCCCCAAAACCCCCAAACCCACCCTGCATTCCACCAAGACGCTTTGCGCGCCAGTCTGGCCGGGCTCATTTGACTGCTGGATGCTTCGGGAGTCGGAACGCCGGAAGTTTGCTTGTCCACCATTTCGGGTGTCAAAGTTCCCGATTCCGCTGCCCTCAGCAGCACGTTCCTGGAACGAGAAGCTGGGTCGAGCAAACAAGGTATTCTTATGCCAGACTTGCGCAAACGCAGAAGAGACACTCTCTCTCTCTCTCTCGAGCTCTCTCTCTCTCTCTCTCTCTCCCACTGTGCCACTGCAGCATCCACTTTGGCTGACTCTGCAAGCTGTCCTTAGCTTGGAGTCCTCTTGCTTCAGGTGGTCTAACACCACCATGCGAAATTGTTCCAACGTCTTGACTGCACAGCAAGTGTACCTCGCATTGGGCTGGACGCATTGCTTGGGGAGAAAGCAACGCGAAATCTTCACAGGGTCTGGCTTGAGCTGCTTCAGCTTTTTGAAATCTCCCGACTTTTTTCGCACCAGACAACACCTCACATGGCTGCCCTTCTGCTCTTTCAAAACCACACCCTCCGTCGGTCAACCCGCCTCCGTGCCCCAGGTCCTCGCCGAAAGGTGCGCAGCCGACGCTTCGGTCGGCACAGCGACGCCAGTTCCAAGGAGTCTCGGGCATGCCAAAGGGGCTTCTGCGCATCTGAGAGGATACCAAAAATGTACCAATATCTGACCTCTCAGCATTTGATGTGTGGACAACTGGTTCCTTCCACCTGACCTTGTGCTATCTGACCTTGTGGCATCATGATTAGCAGTGTTTTTGGGACATCTTCCCGACATGAAAGGTGCTTGCAAAAAAGAAGTTCATGCTTTGCCAGCATGAGCGGCCTTCCGTCGTCGGAAACGATCGATCGCTTCAATGTAGAAGGGCATCTCAACGTTGATATTTGCAGCTGGTCCATCCATACTCCGAGGCCGCCAAGTTTCGATCTCCAACAAGGCTTGGGAATGGCTTTTGCTAAGAGCTCTGATTTCCTCCTCATCTTGATCGAACGCATCATCTTCCAAAGAATCCTGTGTGGAGTCACTATCACTATTCTCATCCTCAACTACCAAGCCTTCCGCTTCGGGATCGGGCTGTGAGGCTTCCTCAGAGGCATCTGAGGCAGCTTCCAATGGAGTCTTCGGTGAATCATCCATCTCAGGAGGAAGTAGGGCAGGTTGTGGCCACTCGTCTCCTTCGGAGCCTCGAGCAAAGAAAATCTCCAAGATCAAGCTCTCTCGGAACTTGGAGTGATCTCCCCCACAATGGCCCAAGTCGTAGATACAAGCAATGCCTGACTTGATGTCCCCCAGAACACTTTCCAGTGGCAAGGGGCTGATGGCTGGAACCTTGAGCAATTCCCAGGTGCAAAGGTCGAGATAGGCAACTCTCCAAACGAAGGTGTATGTACTTGTTGTATCCACCTCCAGCAATCCTGGGCCTGCCCAAGCGATATTTTCCACTTCGTCACTACCCAGTTTGGGCGGCTCTTCACCCTCTGGTGTTCGGTTGAAGCACATCAAAGCACGAATGTGGAAGCCCATGAAGCAGGGGCTGGTCTTGGTGCCTAGGTCGATAACAAATCGGCCACCCGTCTTCTTCTTTGCGAACTTCGCACCCACTGACGCTACATTGGACATGATCCAGCCAAGGTTGAGCTCGCCATCTAGAGTACCACCAGCCCAAATGTTGGTGGAGTTCTCCTGTCCCATGCTGGCGATCTTCTTGAACTTGCCCTGAAACTGAACCATCAAGCCTTTTCTAGGCCCACCCGTCTGCTCAGGTTTCACATTACCAGGTTCATTGCCAGTATCGTGAATGACGTGAAACCGACCTGAGTACGAAAGAACATGATCTGACACTCTGGCCACGTGCAGGAAAACGAAGAAAACAAAACTAGAAACACTGATTCAACAGAATCTGTTTGTATGGTTTGTTGGCGACTGATCCATCCGACGCATTATACAAGCAACGAAGCAACGTTTGCTCACTGAGGCTGGGGCCTTTAAAACCAGGCGCGTCAAACTCTACTGGTTCTCCATTGATGGTTACTGGGACCTTCTCCCCTGTGACTGTTCCCAGTGACAGGAAGAACGGCCTACTGCGCGAGGACATTCAAGTTATGCAATGGGTCCTCTTGACCTGCATCTGCATAAGGATTTGAGCCACCAAACCCCTCAAATGATGCACATGTTCTGGGGCGTCTTTTGGAATGAAAGTTTATTTCCAAAGACAAATGGAACGAGCAAGAAGAGCAAGAAAAACGGAAGAAGCAGGCACCAAAAAAGGAAAGGAAAGGAAAGGAAAGCAGAGCAAGCAAAGAAAAGGAACAAAAAAAATCGAAACCTATTGAATGCCAATGTCGCCTCACGCACTTCGCGGGGGGTTGACTTTTGACTGCGAAAGACGAAAGGAAGGGTTTTTATCCTCACTCTCAAGCCTGATAAAGTGCCCCCGCCCTCCACATTCCGCTCTATTCTCAATTGTTCCGACCCGGCTCTCTTAAGCGCCGCAACATCTCTCATGCCATGTTGCATGTTCACAAACGGATCCACTTCTGGTGGCTTTGGACCATTCCGGGCAAACTTGCTTCTTGGTTTTTTGCCGTTACGAAACATTGCACCGACATGACAAAACAAAGCAAATCGCAAACTCATCTCTAGCTTCAAGATCATGCGTTTACAATTGACAGCCCCCACAACAAAATAGTATAGTTGTTATTGCAGGAAAGAAACTGCACGAATAAAGAAGTGTACCAACTTGATCGGTTGCGAAGCTGCTTTGTGCCGAGCGTCGAGAAAAGGCAGGTGCGGCGCAGTCATAACCAGCAGGTTATGAGCGCAAGGTCTGAGGTGTAAGACCCAGCTGAGGAGGTCGATCGCTGGGCGGCCCTGCGCAAGCGAAGCCATGAGCCTCCAGAGACGGCGGCGGCGCTTCGCGGGAGAAGATGAAGAAGATCCGGCGGCCGCTGCTGGTGGCTCGGGCTCAGAGGAGCAAGAAGGCCGACAAAGGCCTCGAGGTTCTCAGGAGCTGGGGCCAGTGAGGCTGCTTAGTCCAGAGCAGCTTCATGACCCGGAGCAGCTCAGGAGCCAGGCACCGTTTTGTATGGAGAGAACAATAGTGGTGACTCCAAAGAGATTGTGCTTTCTGGCAAGCCGATCAAGACGGATACCTTCACCTCGAAAAAAAACCTGGTGATGGGCAGGTGGTTGATACCGAAGAGCAAGGCTAGTTGCGCACTCCTGGGATTCCTGAAGAGCGACAAGAAGAAGAACAGCTTGCGTTGACCAATGGTGGCCCTGAGGACGAGCAGGATGGTCAACATCAAGGAGGTGAACTACGGATGGCACTTCGACCTGGACATCAACAAGGTCAAGGACAGGTGGGGAGCCAAAGGGAGGAACCCTCTTCGACTATGTCACGGGATTCCATGGAGTACCTTATGCTATTGACCCACAGGTAATTATGCAGCAACAAATGTTCACCACAAGGAGCTGAGGGACGAGCTTCGCGATCAGCGCCCTGGATTTGAGACACAGGTCAAGGCTCTGCAGAAGGAGATTGATAATCAAGCGTTCAAGAAACCCAACCTGAAGGCCGAGCTCTCTTCAGCGATGATCCACAGCGGGGTCAAGGCATGGGATGGGTGGAGAGAGAATGGAAGAAGCTGTATGACACTGTATGAGTTGACACCTGTGCAGCAATTTGAGCAACTACAATCGATGATGGGCCAGTCAACTCCGCCTTCGAGAGGAGTACGGGGTAGATCGACTCAGGAACGATCGAGGTCGGACCCGGACCGAAGACCGGAGATGGCTGGAGATCAACTTCAACCGGGATGAAGCCTGGACCTACAACGACGCAGACGACCACAAGGCATCACCAATGCTCAGGAAGGAAAAGGGGCATCAGATCCTTCCACGAGTTCTGGACAAGGAGATGGGAGTGGCATGGTGGACGCCATGACGAAGCTGATCTCCTACCTGGTGGACAATGAGAAGAAGGAAGAGCGGAGCCTGTCAAACCGGGAGCCATGACACTTCCTTCACTTCCGGAGCCTTCGGATACTGCTCCGATCAATCTGGCGGGCTGAAACCGAGTTGATCGAGGTGATTGAAGCAAAGGTTGTGGGGGACAGCATCTCCTGCATGGTGGATGAGATGACTGGAGGAATCGCCAAATACCTGAAGTGCGACAACACAGCGGCAGTGTCGATTGCCAGCTCAGCCACGGGAGCATGGAGAACTGGCCATCTCAATGCGGGAGCTGTTTTTTTTGCTCACGCCTTTTTGCCGCGTGTCACGCCGCGTGTCTGAGGGGGTGAAACGAATCCCCTGCATTTTTGTTTTTCCGCAGGACGGGGGGTGAGACGAAACCCTGTTTTATACTGGCCAGGGTCCAGCTGTGCTTAGCCCACGGTGGTGGAGGAGGGCAGGCGGCTGGGAGCGGGCGCACCGTCTGTGTAAGAAGTCAAGAGCTCACAGATCGGCGGGCAGGGTCCGAAGTCCAAGCGATGGTAGCGGCGTTGCGTAAGTTTGGGGGGCTTGCTGCTGCCCTGTGTTTTGCCAAAAGTTTGATGAAAGTTGTGGGTTCTCGGCTCCAACGCCCCCCGATCTCAAGTCCCAGGACGGCTAGGCGAGAGCGACCATGTCCCAACAGTTCGGGGTAGGTCCGTTCTTTGGCACCTTGGCATTGGCCCTGGTGCCTTCGGGGCTGGCCCGTTGTGGTGAGCGGGCACACCAGAGTAGTGTCGACCGCGAGCTGGGAGCCATTCCAAAGGGGAAGGCCATTTGCTATCACCTCTATCCGCCGTTCATCATGGCGGGTGGCTCCGGTATATTCAAGTCTCGGACTAAGACGTTGGTACTCACAAGGGCCCCAGCCTCTCTGCAGATTCGGGCCGCTGCACGTTCCAAGCCGAAGCCTCGGACCCGCAATGCTCCGGATCTGGGGCAAGCAGCCCTGTGATCGCCTAATGGGTCCAGCGGCTGTTGACATCGGCAGCGCGCTGGCAGGGCAAGGGCAGTCGAAGACGCCGGAGGAGCAGAAGGCGGAAGTGGGACGAATCCAAGACGAGCTCATGGGAGACAGGGAACAGGGTGAAAATTCTGGCCGCCAATGGCCCGCACTGGGATTCCAAAAGAGCTTGTGAGGGAGCGGTGAGATGGGCGATGTGTTCCTGTTTGAGAGCTGTGTCGGTGATGTGGGAGGCGTGTCGTTGCCATCCTCGGAGGGTGTCTGCGTGGTCATGGGGTGAGGTTGGAGCCGGTGGTGCTGGCTGGCATTGGGTGCAGGGCGGGGCGTCTACCTCCAAGCTTGTGAGAAAAGCCGTGACGTGTTGCAGGCATTGGAGGGATGGTAGCTCTGGGTTCTCGATCTGCTGTTGGATCGTGTCAAAAACCTGTGGCATTTTCTGGCGGAGGACAGGTGTGGCGTCCTGCCATGAGGCCCAGTGGGCGGCTGCGGTGTGAGCATGCGCGCTGCGAAGCCCCAACCCACCTTGTTGCAGGGCGAGGCGGGCTGTGTCGATGGCTGGCCGGGGCAGTTCGTTGTTGGGCTGTTGCAGCAACCGTGCTAAACATGTGTGCACTGCGTTGTCGTGTTCTGTGGCAAAATGCCTGGTGAGGTCAGGGCGGACCCCGCGCAGGGCGTAATGGACGCGGGGCGACGCGCAGTACAAAAGGAGCAACCAACTGGTTTGGAAGTCTGGGATGCCGGGCCGGGCTTCAAACAATGGTTGTTGTTTCGCCTGAAGCTGACGGAGCTCTGCTTGGATGTACTCCATGCTGCCGACTGGGAGGCCCAGGACCTTGAGCCCTTGCTGGTGTGGTGGCAGGTGGGCGTCGCCGAGCCAAACCGCTGCCGTGGAGGCAAGGTCTCTGACGTTGGGCGGCTCGGTGCCGGCACCATTCCAGATTTGTGTTTTGCCGGCATGGAGGCGTATGCCTGTGTGCAGTGCAAGGCATTGGGCCAAAGTGTTGTAGAGTTGGCGGATGCGGGCAGGCTGCGCTGTGACGTAAATGTCGTCCAAGAAGGCGGCTACGTGCTCGCCTGGTTGGAGGCTGCTGTGGAAGGCTTGCAGGGCCCAGTTCAAGGCCAACGAAAAGAGCGCTGGCATTAGCGGGTCGCCTTGTTCCCCTCCCTCGGCCTGGTGGATGCGGTGCGTGTGGCCCGCGTGATCGGTCCACAAGTATGTGGACGGCTGGCTGTAAAAGAGTCTGGCAAAAGGGAGGGCGGCATTGGCTTCGGGGGTGGCTTGCAGCGCAGTCAGCATGGCGGCTCTGCTGACATGGTCGTATGCACCTATGCCATCCACTGACCAAATGGTCAGTTGTGGGTCTGCCTCCGTTGTGAGTTGCAGGCCGTGGACCAAGGCTTCAGCGCCGGCCCTGGTGGAGAGGGCGAATTGGTGGGGATGGCATTCGTGGTCGAACTGGCTAGCGAAATGTTGTGCCAAGGAGCGTGCTACCAATCGTCTTAGAAAGTCTCCTACCACGAGGCCTCGAACCCCCCCCCCGACTAACCGTCCCATGCCAAGGGCTGTGGCGATGATTGGGGGGATGTTGGCCTGGGCTAAGCGGCAGCAGACTTGGCTGAATGCTTGGGTGGCTGCTGGGTCGTCCAGCAGGACTTTTGCGATCTCAGCTGTGAGCCCGCTGGGCCCGGGGGCTCCACGGCGGGCCCGCCGCAGGTTAGTAGTGAAAAGGTGTGGTGGCACTTGGACCGGGTTGGCTGGGCGCCATTGCAGGAT